TGCTTGTTGGAAATTTTGGTAAGTCATAGTGTGGTAAAGGCTAGAACTGGTCAGGTCATCTCAGATTCATTGATCTACCCAAACCTCAACACTTCCCAAACAGTATAGGTCCCCTAGCCATGGACTATGTGTCCATTATGTGGTGAAAAGCCGCAGAATTAACTACAATTAAGCAAATTAAGCAGCTTTCTTTTTATCATTTTTTGGATTTGGCAAGAGGATTATTTGGGATAAATGTAAGCATACTCTCATTTTTTTTTAATAATGATGCAGTGCATATATTGCATGTGATAATTATATACAAAAACCCCAGTATATGCCATACTCCAACTAATTAAGCTATTTTCTAAGTTCATCAATTATAAATTCTCTTGTTTTCTTGAATAAAAATAACTTCAGGCTGTCTAATTTAACTTTACATGGTATTGAATTCAATGCACATTTCTCAAATTCAACAGGTTTAAAAATTTCATCTCCCTCATTGGATCCATAACAAGAAATCTGTTCTTCTGTGTGAGTGTGTGTTTCTTTTTTGCTCTTCTTTAGAGGCTACTGAGAACAACCATGAATGCACTAGTGGCAACAAACAGAAACTTTAAGCTGGCAGCACGGCTTCTGGGTTTGGACTCTAAGCTTGAGAAGAGTCTGCTCATTCCCTTCAGAGAAATCAAGGTGCTTCCCTCATTCTCTTATTTTTCGAATACTTATTTAGCTATTCTGCTGTAAATGTTGTTCGTCGATAGAGTGCAGAAAGATCTGTGGAGAAGAGTCAAGAGGAACTCATAGACATTGTTCTGATAGTCATTGTTCAGCTAGAACTTTAGTTCAAATGTCAATGATCTAAGTTTCTTTTATGTTCTTCCATAGTTCTATTTTAATGTTCAATGCTAATAAAGAAATACAAATTGATGCTGATCTCTTTGTTGTCTTTATGCATTAAGTTCCATCCCTTGCATTGATCTTTCTTACTGCAAAGGTGGATTTGAGTGATTTGAAGGCATTTAGGCTCAAAAAGCAGCTTTGATTTCCTGGCTTGTGAATTTATGTTCTGTATTAGTAAGTGGTGATTCTCAAATGGATTTTGAACATGTGCATAGGTTGAATGTACCATACCGAAAGATGATGGCAGCCTGGCATCTTTTGTTGGGTTCAGGGTTCAGCATGACAATGCAAGAGGACCCATGAAAGGAGGCATTAGATACCACCCTGAGGTTGTTTACAATCTGTTGATGCTATTTGTGTTCTGTGGCATTATCAGCTCATTCTGAGTTTGAATTCTGATAATCTCTGGGAACAATATTCTAGGTTGACCCGGATGAAGTGAATGCCTTGGCACAGCTGATGACATGGAAAACATCAGTGGCAAACATCCCCTATGGTGGGGCTAAAGGCGGGATAGGCTGTGACCCTGGAGAGCTGAGCATCTCTGAGCTTGAACGTTTGACACGAGTTTTCACTCAGAAGATTCATGACCTGATTGGCGTCCACACAGATGTTCCAGCTCCTGATATGGGCACTGGTCCACGGGTAAAATGTTCTTTCTAAGGTTGATTAGGAAACAAAGTAGAGAACACGTGAATTGATGTGTTTTCGAAGTAAATTTTGGAGTCGATATTGAAAACTTTGATATCTGGTCACAGACTATGGCATGGATACTTGACGAGTACTCAAAATTCCATGGATATTCACCTGCAGTCGTGACTGGAAAACCAATTGTAAGTCCAATGGAGGATCAAACATTCATTCTACTTGCACAAGTTTGGTAGTTTTCTCTTTCTTAAGAATAAAGAAAACTCAATTGCCTTTTTCTCTGACAATAAGGATCTTGGAGGATCACTAGGCAGAAATGCAGCTACCGGAAGGGGAGTGCTCTTTGCAACAGAGGCCCTGCTTAATGAGCATGGGAAATCCATCTATGGCCAAAGATTTGTCATACAGGTGAATCTTCTGACTTTCTAGAAGATGAAATCAACTAGAAAGAATATCATAAGAAATTTTAAGAACTAGTTTGGTCTTGGTTTCTTCTAGAAGCTAGCTCAAAGTTAATAACACTTCCCCATTTGAATTGATTTCTGAAAATGATGATTGGTATTTCATTAGGGTTTTGGAAATGTTGGTTCATGGGCTGCAAAACTTATCCATGAAAGTGGTGGGAAGATTGTTGCTGTGAGTGACATCACAGGAGCAATAAAGAACAGCAAAGGGATTGACATCCCAAGCCTGCTCAATCATGCCAAAGAACACAAGGGCGTCAAAGGATTCCATGGTGGGGACCCTATAGATCCCAAGTCAATTCTGGTTGAAGACTGTGACATCCTCATACCGGCAGCCCTTGGTGGTGTCATCAACAGGTAACAAACTCTCTCTTCATACTGCTTCCACATTCAAGTTGTAAATCATGTTTTCGTTCTTCTTTTTTCCTTTTTCTTTTTTTCTTTTTCTTTTTTGAATATCATGTAAATCATGTTCTTTGATCTGAATGAAGAGAAAATGCCAATGATATCAAAGCTAAGTTCATCATTGAAGCTGCTAATCATCCAACTGATCCAGAGGCAGACGAGGTCAGTGTATCTCTGAAGTTTGCATGAGTTACAGGAAATCAGAAGATGCAATGAGAAATCCCATCTTCTTACTACTTTTTCTTATTGTAGATCTTGTCAAAGAAAGGTGTGGTTATCCTTCCAGATATATATGCAAACTCAGGAGGAGTTACTGTTAGTTACTTTGAGTGGGTTCAGGTATTTCCCCTGCCTAGACGAAGGTCTGGACTGGCATGGAACTATGAAAGACTAAAGTGCTTTCGATGAATCCATCACAGATGAGAACTCATTAAGGGCATTTTGGCTTTACAATTTGGACCAACACTTATTCAAGCCAGTCTAGACTGAAAAAGATATTTCTGAATTTTTTTAAATCAACCTAGTTTTTTTGGGATATTCTCTGTATTGCAGAACATTCAAGGTTTCATGTGGGATGAGGAGAAGGTGAACAATGAGCTGAAGACATATATGACAAAAGGATTCAAGGATGTGAAGGAGATGTGCAAAACACACAACTGTGATCTAAGAATGGGAGCCTTCACCCTTGGAGTTAACCGAGTTGCTCGGGCAACAGTTCTAAGGGGCTGGGAAGCTTAAGGAAATTATTAAATGTACCAAATAAAGATGGAGGCTTCAGTGAGGCCCCTGATTCTTGTATGCTGCTTTGATTGAACCTCACCTCATTCATGTGAGGGACTTCAAAGAAGTTTAGTCATATTTAGTAACTGCTTTGCTGCTTTTCTTCGCAGTGATTTAAGCACATTTTCTGGGCTCAGACTAAACAGGGTAATAATGGATCCTCTTTATGAATAGAAAGCTATCAAATCCACGTCGTTAATTCATGGAAAACATGAATATGTGCGGTCCACAAATAGGAAAACATGAACATGCAGTAAAAAGTGAATCCATTGAAAGACCAAAATCATGTTTAAGTTCAGCATTCAGAATTTCATAGTGATACGTCGGTAAACTAAAACAAAGAAGGACAACAGTAACGTGACAACAAGTTGTTCTATGCTCTCCCTCTGCCTCTGAAGCCACCGCCACGACCCCCACCTCTGCCTCCACCTCTGCCACCTCTTGGAGCACCTCTTCCTCGAAAAGCTCCACCTCCACGACCACCACCTCTACCACCACCTCTGCCTCCCCCACGGCCA